AGCAAATGTTTCAGGCATTTATTAAGACACCCCAAATATTTATCTTTGTATTTAAAACCCTTCTTCTTCATAAGGAAGACAGCATTTGAGTTATACCTACCAATTGCACTGTAATATATTTGCCCCCTCCCTCCTCAGAGGTACAAATAGCTCTTCATAAGAGTAATTAGTAATTGATAAATAGTGTCAGTTAACTAGTGAAGCCATATTTGCTCTCCTACCCCAAAACAAAAGCCCAAGCAAAATTATAATTTTTTTTTAATCTTATGAAGGGAAGCATTTTGTTTCCATTATTCACTATTTGACTATTGAGGACAACCTTGAAAATTAACTCTCAACAGATTTAATCAAATATGCTCCAGAATTTATGCTTACAATACAAAAACACAGAAAAAACTACACATACCGCTCTGAAAATGCTATAATCCTCTTAAAACTGCACACATTTTCCACAGAACACTTGAAATATGAAAATAGCAAGAGATATTGTCTCGACTTCTGCTCATTTCCATTTTAAGAATTCCTCTAAAATAACAGAACTGTTGGAATTACAAGATAGATCTTCTGAAAGGGATATATGTTTTGTAAAGTATCTCAAACCTGTCTCACATACCCTTTGTTAAGCCAGTCTGCAGGAGTCAAACTGTCTTGGAGAAAGTTTGTGCCTACAACTGTCCCGGTGATGGAGCCTACAAGTGATGTAAAGCCCGAGAGCAGCACGGGTACCAGTAACTGTCCAGTGCAAAAGGAGAAAACTTTTCATGGACAAAACTAAAGGCAATGTGTAAATGTACACCCTTCAAACATATTAAAGAGTAAGTTACTGTCACAGGTCAAAAGTTAATTGAAAGCAGTCTTAGCCAAAACTTCCACAACTACCAAATGCATTATAAATCATGGCAAGTCTTGCTCATTTGGGTTTCTTTCTAATAATTAAGTACTTTAAACATTCCCTTCTTCCTGCAGAATAGGAAATGGTGGCTTTAAATTATAATCTGCTGGCAGTGACAATGACAGACTAGTACTTGGCCCTTCTTTAGGTGGAATTAACAGTGTTTCAAAGAGAATAAGACAAGCAGGAAGAAAAAAGAGGGTAAAAAGTTCATTTTAACAAAAAGACCATTTGCAGTGCTGGGAAAAAAAAAAATCAAATCAATAAGAAATCAGTTCCCCAGCTCTCCTCAGTCAAGTACATACATCCAAGGGGGGGAAAAAAAAAAAAATTAAGGCTGTTATCACTACAACTAAAAGGATATTTTTTCTTTTTTTCCATCATTCTCTGAAATTAATACTTATAGCAGCAACTTATCACAGAATACCGGTGGAAAGTCTCCTGTTTAGGTAAAAACTATTCCATTCAAAAAAATCTGTACACAGAGACCAAGTAAAGAGAAGGGGGAAGAAAGAATGAGACTACACCACCATGGTGCAATAAAGAATATTTTCAGCAAATGAGAATTCGAAAGGGAAGGGAGAGCCATTGTGTTGTACAAAAGGAACATTTCCCCATCACTCAGTCAACAGAAACATAGGGAAATGAGAACTATTATGAGCAGGTACTACCTTCTAAAGTCTGAGTGGAAACGTGAAGGACCTTCGCAGCAAACATGAGCAGATTGCGTTCTTATTTCATAGATTTTCATCTAGGACCTTAATGAACTTTCAGCCAGAACAAATAAGATAAGTGGAGCAAGAGAGAAGTAGTAGCGTATTTTCTCTTCATGCAGCTTTGCAAAAAAATCAAAGAGAAGCTAATGAACATA